AAACAGGAAACATTTATTAATTCAATCTCAAAGTTCTCATTTTCTCCATTTGGAAATGAAAATAAATAAATCTGTAAAAAGGGAATTTAATGCTGGAGAGGAGAGAAGAGGAGAGGAGAGGAGAGGAGAGGAGAGGAGAGGAGAGGAGAGGAGAAGGGATTCAGAAAACTTTACAGTACATGCATGAAATATCATCTCTTTGCTCTCCATTGCTTTTACTCAATGTGCTTATCTTGGAACTTGTCTTTTCAATACGCTTATGTTTGGAACTTGTACACTTGTAACACTCAGACTGCTTAGAATTTCAAAGCTGACCACCTTTCCAGGCTGTTATGTCAGATTTTATGTGCAAGTAGTATTTTTCACCAGCACAATTACTTGGTCTTGATATTAAGAAATGATGAATACCTTGCATTTCATAGGAGCGGAATTGGGGCTGACCTTTAGACTAATTAAAGCAATATGTGTATGAAGATTTCTGCATAACTGGATGAAGAATGGACTATGAGGAATATTTAGCATTGTTACTGCAAAGAGTGTTTTGAACTGCAAATATATTGTGTTTTGAAAATCAGTTAGTTATACAAGGCTGGTCATTCTATTTTGATATAGCATTCCATTGCCCTGAATACTTTTAAAGAGGTCTCAGCTAGTTATGGATATTTTTCCATTTATATAATTGTTAAATTATATATCATTAAGTACAGAAATTTAAAATTGTTTCTTTTAAAAAAATCAGCATATAAACATTGCTTGCCTAATAGCAAAACTCCATCAAACAAATCCTCTTAAAGCCAAATGCATAATTAGTTTCTGCAGTCTATTTTTTTAAACTATTTTTCTTCTCTTTACAATTTTTTTTTAAACAATCTATTTTAATTAAACAATCATATGTAGCTGCAACTGGTGGGTTCAAACTACCTTTTTGATGGCATGATATGCAAAGCATTATACTGTATCAAGGAAAGAAGAGTAGACCCATAGTACAGTATTGCTGGTGTGTTTAAGGGGCATGATGTTGGACAAAGACTGCTGTAAGATT